AGAGAATCAGCTAACTCACATACCAGTTGGAACATTACATCACCAGCATCTTTCTTCCTCAACTGATACGATTTTTTCTTGGAGCATTAACACTAAGTTTGTTGTAAAATATTCTAGACAAGATCCACCATTTTAGGAACAAACTAACAGCTGTCCATTCTAGAGTATTCCTTTTACATTCCATTGTGTTATTTAACCTTGAAGGTCTGATCAATAAACAATTATCAAAACCGGCTGATTGCCTATCTATCTTCTTTGATTTCTAACTTGGTATCAGAGCATTTCAATGGCAAACGCCAGCAATCCTTCCCATAATGCTGATCCCATCTTTGCACCTGCCTCAGTCTCCAGCAGTACTGCCACTCCTTTGATAAGCACCAATAGCAGCTCACCATTCGGAGTGAATCTCACTCAAGTTGTTTCAGTCAAGCTGGACAAGAACAACTTCTTGCTTTGGAAGAATATGATATTGCCAATTATACGAGGACACAACTTTGAAGGCTACATTCTAGGGACAAAGATGTGTCCCCAAGAATTCAATGGCAGCCACGTCACTGGTGAAGCTGGAACCACTATTGAGATGATTAAAAATCCTGAGCATGGCCAATGGATGTCAACAGATCAGTTGCTTATGGGTTGGCTATATTCATCAATGACTCCAGACATTGCTATGAGAGTTATGGGTGCTACCAACTCAAGGGAACTTTGGACAGCAATTGAAGAAAGCTATGGAGTACAAAATCGGTCTAGAATAACCTTCCTTACTGGTGAACTGCAGAAGTCAAGAAAGGGAACAATGAATGTTGATTAATACTTAAACAAGGGGAAGCAACTTGTTGACAACCTTGAAATTGCTGGGAAAATTGTGGTGCATACAGACTTAGTCTCTCAGGTTTTGGCTGGTTTAGATGAAGATTATACCCCAATTGTTGTCCAGATAAATAGCAGAGATCATATATCTTGGGGAGAGCTTCAATCCACACTTATGACTTATGAAAGCAGGCTAGAACACCTAAATTCTCCGAGAAATGACATATCTGAAATCAACATCAGTCAGACCTAAGCTAATTTCTCCCAAGGGTCTGCATCCAATAAACATGGCTTCAGATCTTACAGGCCAGCTTTTGGGGGTAGATTCACTAATTTCAGCAACAATAGAGGTGGAAGAAGGGGAAGAAACAGACCAATTTTTCAAGTTTGTAGAAAAATTGGACACAAGGCTAATATATGCACTTCAGGTATGATGATAGATATACTGGAGTGACACCAAAGAAAAGAACCAACTACAACATGTCACCTGTAGCCCTTATTGCATCTCCTAGCATTGTCAATGATCCAACATGGTATGCTGACACTGGAGCCAGCAATCACATAACCTCAGACAAAGGAAATCTCACCTCAGTCAATGAATATGCTGGTAAGGAGAAAATCATGGTAGGAGATGGAAGTAAGTTGCATATTTCTCATTTTGGTACCACTCACATTCTAGTTTTGAATGATAAAATTTTGGTTCTAGACAAACTTCTTCATGTGCCCTAAATTATGAAAAATCTTATAAGTGTTTCTAAGTTAACTTCATATAATGATGTATACATGAAATTTCATCCCAATTGTTGTTTTGTCAAGGACAAATCAACGAAGGAGGTGATGATACAATGGAAGCATAAAGAGGGGCTGTACCAGCTCGATTTTCCTCACCAAACTACCAAGAGTCTTACTTAAGAGTCAGCTATCACAAATAAATTCCTCTGTAATCTATCTTCTAGTATTTCAAGTCATGAGTTTTCAATTTCCACAAATGATGTATGGCACAAGAGGCTTGGTCATCCTTCTAACCAAGTGATGACTGAAGTACTCAAATCCTGTAATCTCAAACTTAAAGAAAATGATATCAAACCTTTTTGCAATGAGTGTTAACTTGGCAAATCTCACCTATTACCTTTTCATTTATCTTTGTCACATGCCAAAGCTCCATTAGAACTTGTCTTCACAGACATTTGGGGAAAAGCCCCTATCCTATCTACCTCAGGTTTCAAATATTACATATCCTTTCTTGATGACTTTAGCATGTACACGTGGATTTATCCCCTAAAATAGAAATCTGAGGCCAAATGTATTCATTCAATTCAAAAGGCTTGTTGAAAACAAACTAGCTAGCAAAATAAAAACCTTACAGGCTGATTGGGGTGGTGAATATAAAGTGTTCTCAAAGTTTTTGAACCAAGAGGGAATTGAGTTTAGGCACCCATGTCCATACACTTTAGCTCAAAATGGTAGGATAGAAAGAAAGAATAGACATGTGACTGAAATAGGCCTGACACTATTAGCCCAAGCAAAACTGCCCTTGATGTATTGGTGGGAAGTTTTTCAGGCTGCTATCTATCTTATAAATAGGCTGCCAAC